GCTTCATCTGAGATACTTTGGGCATGTTGCAAGGAGGGACCAGTCCTTGGAGAGGGACATCATGTTTGGGAGTGTGGAAGGACAGCTCAGGAAAGGAAGACCGTCGATGATATTGATTGATTCAGTGATTGAGGTAGTGGGAGTAGGTGTGATGGACACAATGAGATTGGCACAGGACAGAGCAGAGTGTAGGGCTCTTGTACATAGGGTCACTATGAGTCGCAAGCAACACAATGGCACATAACAACAAACAACAATGGAAGGTTTAGGAAATCTTTAATGCAAATGACCAATAAACTCCCCTATGAGTATATATACTGCTGAGCTGTATTTTTAAATAAAAAATTATTTATCAACTTCTCAAAGAGAGCATTGGGGTACCTCCATGAAAGAAAGTCATGAAACAATTCTTTTAAAGGGCTCTTAATCAAGACTGCATGGGAATTTGGTTTGCTTAGGGACCCCCTTTCCTGCATCTTCTCTTCCTCATTCATGAATTACAGAATTGCCTTTGTTACAAAACTACTTGCTTTTCTCCTAATCAAACCTCCATTTATCTCCAAAGCTGCTATTTATCTATTTCATGCTAAGAAATGAGTTGCAATAGGTTGAAGTCTAGCAAGAGAAATATTTCTATGTGAAATGTGAGATTTCTTATTCAGATTCTCTCTAAAGAACAAGTGTAATCCTTTGCTATACAGACAACACTGTGCCCATGTGCCCTCTAGGGACCACCATGGTCTCCTGACCCTCTACATTCCAGAAATCAGGGGTCAATAACTGGGAGCCCCTCTTATGAAAAGCTATCAACTTCTGGAGGGAGCTTGTATGAAAGCAAGTGTTCATTTTCAAAATGTGACTGGTTGTGAAATCAGCGACCTCACCTTTTTTCTGCATCCCTTGGAATGTTTTCTAGTCAAGGGGCCCCAAAGTGATCTGTCATCACTGGTCAACAGTGTAAGCAGCTCGTTCTTGTATCTTTGCCCTTCTCCTCCAAACTTGAAACAGAACACACAACCTCTACCCTTCCCCTGTCAAGCTAGAATTTTCATGTGGTCAACGTTTGTCAGGGTCTTCACCTCTAATGACATGGTCAACACACCAAGAAATTGTATTTAACACAAGAAAAATGAACACCAGATCCCTTTCTCCCTGTCTTATCACTGAAAGCTATAGATTTTTTTGTTGAGAGTAAGCATATGCGTGTATTTATCCTTTGAACATTCATAGAAACTTGAAATGATTATCCTCCAAGATCATAAAAGGGTTCAATAACACACTTTAATATAATTGTAAGTACTTTTTAATAAAATACAGATATATAATTACAATTATAAATGCATATATGTCATTGATGCAAAAGACTAGCCTTTGAAATGACATGGTGATTAATATTTACAGAAAGAACAAAATTGGACAATATTGCTAAATTTTACCCCAAAATATTAATAACAAATATATTCATGGTGTTATTTCAAATTACCCGCAGCCAAAAGGAAAATTCTCTCATTAGTATGCATGGGTATAAATGATTACTTTTCATATATTCTCAAGATGATAAACCTTCTCATTCTCTTTGAAACAAACAAGTAGGAGGGCTAAGATGTACCTGGACATTTGTCATTCTCAAAGTCTTTTTCAAATCTTTGCCAGACTATTAATTCATATCATACACAAATATCCTACATAATTCTACCTATTACAAATGCTTCATTTCTCCATGTAATTTTTAATTTAAAAATCAATTCTAATTTGATTAACAGTTGCAGAATCCATGAAGAAAATAGTCAATATACGCAAACATGTTTCATATTCTTTGCAAATTCTGCTCAGTTCATATGTTCCCCATAAATACCTAATAGTCATGCTGTTTTTGAAGTGGTTTTTTTTCTTAAAAAAAAAAAAAAGCAAATCAGGAGCCTTTATCCATCTAAACTAAAGATGAGTTAAAGCAATCCAACTTAGAAATGAGCAGAAATCACACCTTTTAAACCTGGCAAATACATTCAATATCTCTAGGCAGTGGGTAAAGAGATACTTTATTTTAGCTTCTCAACAGACTCATGGCAATGCTCTTATTCACTCATTCTTGGATTTGTCTATTCATCTCACTATGTGCTATAGAAATTCCTGGTTTTAAAATCTTAAGCCATGTATCCATCCTTTGAGAGGTCTTAAAAAAATTGGGTACTCTTTTCATGTAACACAAATTTAAGTTAAAAATGTTTTTAAAGTTTAAAGGTTTTTAAAATCATAATCATAATCATATCTTCTATGTCTCCCAGGAGGGTCTATCATAATGGGATTTGGCCTTTGCACTACAAAAGACAGATTGCTGGAGATAACCTCCTGAAATTCCTTATGGTTATTTAACACCAGAAAGGCCAAGGATGTATCTGTTTGGGGAAGACTTAGACAGGGCAGCTAGGTTAGGGAAGTGAGACATTTCAAGTTGTAGACATTACAAAACATAAACAGAAGCATAAATGCCTTTTTCCTTGCTTTGAAAACAAGAGTTAAGAATCTCAAAGCAAGATAGGGTGGGGGGAAAACATCTCCTAAATAAAACTACTTAATATCCTAAGATTATAGCTATATATGGTGCTTCTTGATTTAAAAGGCTATTTCTCAATGAAATAAAATAAATTAAGAAGAAGTTCTTTCATTCTGCCATTTCACTTATATATTCCTTCCCTTTTTAATACTAGGATTTATCAATATTTATAGAATATTCTTTAATGGTCTAATTGATAAGCTAAATAAAATGAGGAAAATCCAAATACTAGAAACCTATTTTCAGTAGATGATTAAGTAAGTGCCTTTTCTGTGTCCAATGTAAAGAATTTTTTAAAAAAATTCACAAGTGTCTCTTTCATCTTTCTTAAGAAAATAACAATTATTATGGGCTATGAATTTTTACTGACCCAAGGTCATAGAGTATCTGCAGTAAATAAGAACAATCATTAACACAAAGCTAATTGTTGGTGACTATAAATATCTCAGATTTAATAACTTTAATTGAATTTTGCATTTATGGTTCTCACACTTTCTGTGTCCAAGAATAACAAAAATTCTAAGAGTCTATACTACTTGCTGTTGGTTATATCATTTGAAGCGTGAAACCATTGGAAGCATTTTTCTTATACATTAAATTACACATCTTAGTCTGGGTAATATCATAGCCAAGTTTTATCATTTCTTTTTTAAAGAGTGAGAACACTGGTCAAACATACTATTTTTATGTCCGTTTTCTACATAACTAGATAACTGGGGGGAGGGGAATTAAGAGCCTGTAGTTTTGCTGGTTACAAAACTTCACATGCCCTGGATGTACCATATACATACAGAGCGATAATTACAATCTCACCATAAGATTTCATTTGAATGAGCTTTCATTTCCTATTATTATATGTACATTTTACAACCCAGAGAAAGTCTCTTCTACAATTAATTTAAAAAAAAATGGAAAAGGAAAAAAGAAAATACATTGGACAAATTCAAATGTAGTTGAACTTAAAGGCTTCATCAGACCATATGTGCAGACACTTGAGATGACGACAGAGTCAAGCTTCCTAGAGTCCTCGAGTCAAAGAAATTCTGCTGACCCCCACTGCTAAGCAAGTGCACTCCTTCCACAGGGGGTAACATCTGCCGATCAGTCATGGTTCCACTTGGTGAGGACCCCAAGAAACTTCCTTGGGAAGAAACAATTTTCTCAGGACTGGCAGCCAGTTTAGGGGATGTTGAGAAGTTATACCCATATAAGGCACATGGACTGTGTAGCCTGAATGTGTTATAAGAACCCTGATGGGTTTGGTTAGTAGCAAAGGCGTTGCTGGATGGTGAAGGCATGATGTACTGAAGCTGGGGGGACATCCCCGAAATCTGCATAGACAAGCTGGTTTGTGGGCAGCTGAAGGCATCCCCATCGCTGCCACTCATGGACATGTTCACTGAGGCACTACTGCTCACACCCACGTACGAGGGAGTCCTGGGCGGGGCGAATGTCTCGCTGGTCTGGCTGGTAAGCCTGTTGTAGGTCTCTGCCAAAGAGGTGCTGTACCGGTTGAGGGTCAGGCCCGAGCGGGCACATGCAGAGTAGTCAGCTGGGGAAAGACTGCACAGCTGGCTGGTGTTGGGCCCCAGATGGAAGGCAGGAGAAGAGCAAGGGGAGCCAGGCAAGAGGTGAGGGTGGGTGGCAGGAACACCACTCCCAGAACTTTGGAGTAAGGTGGAGGAACCTGCATTTCCTACCAACAACATGAAGAGATCGAAATGTAAGGAGTTGTCCGTCCTTTCAACTTTGTTAACACATGCAAGATACACATAGTTTGTTACTAGGAAGTTTGTAAAGCTGAAAAAGATATAATCTTGGTTGTCAAAGAATTTACAATTTAATTGCCTTCAGAATGAAATAATTGAAACTTAGAGTTTAAAAAAAAAGTTAAAGCAACTTATCTTACCAGGAGATAGACTATGCTTTTTTTTTTTTAATTACAGAACATATGTATACTACCACAAAGAACTTCCATCCTCAGTTTTCTGATTTACCCTACTAAACATACTGACTTTATCAGCAATTCATGAATGATAGGTATTGTCTTACTCTATGCTTATTTCCCAAAGGGTAACTATTGCTCTCTTCTATAATTTATCACCTTTTCCCTTAGCACAGCTCAATCTAGATTAATGTATTTTTTTAATAAAAGAAATTATTTAACCGAAGGTACACCAGCCTCAGACACCCCTCCACTGCCACAGAAAGCTCCTGTGTGCGCTTTGGCAGATCTTGGCTACTACAATAAGGTAACAGCCAAGTTTCCAAAAATCTTACTTCCAATACAAAAACAAATGCTAACCTAAGGCAGAGTTCTAACAAAGAAATATTCCTGTGAAAGGTGGAAAGGGTGACTGACCCTGTATTCAATCAATAATTGTGATGCTGGTAACTGCCTCTTTGGATTTGATGGCAGATTGATGGCTGCAAACTTGACTGAAATTAAGTGGGAAATGGGGATTTCAAAAGGCTGTAAAACCTTCGTTTCTCTAGAAACTGTTTTATGTAGCTTCTTAAAATAATCAAGTCCAACCAACCAATGATAATCATCTAAAATCCCACTAGGCTAGGTCTTCACAAGAAAGCTGGGCAGGCACATGAGTCCAAGGCTGACCCAAGGAGGAAGCTGAAGCCCTACTGAGTGCATCGGCTAGAATGGAAGGACTGATCATTTGGTAGGAAACTGGGAAATATTCAGACTAGACTTTCAGGAGAACACTGCCTAGGGGCCACTCTCCTGAAGAGAAGAAAGCAACTGGCAAAAAAAGACGAAAAAAGACCAGCATCAGCAATTTCTCGTGTAATTCCCTTCACACCAGAGTCCACTTGCCCACCTCTAAATTTAGCAAGAGATTTAAGGGTGAGATAAAAGTCAGACAGTGTATATATATATATTAAAAGGTTGACATCAAGTTGATGCCCATTTGTGGTGACTGCACATCTGCCAAGCAGAAGTGTCCACAGGGTTTTCAATGGCTGATTGTTTTGGAAGGAGATTGCCAGACCTCCAAGGTGTCCATGGGGCATGTGAGTATTTACCATTTCAGTTAGAAGCCATGTGCATTAGGAGTTTATATCACCAGAGAGTTCAATGCAATATATCAACAGTCTAAGTAAACAGTATTTAGCCTACAGCCTTTACCCCTGGAGCTCCCCTGTATTCACTCAAACAGATGGATCTGCAGTGGAGAAGGTTTGGTGGTGAGGTGAGGTGTAAATAGTAATGTGAGCACTTTTCCAGTACGTAGTAGAGAGCACTGGTAGATTAGTGGTAAAAACTTGTGCTACCAACCCAAAGGCATGAGATTCAAATCTACCAGCTGCTCCATGAGAGAAAGACAATCTTCTCTCATACAGTTCACTGCTTCTGAAAATCCACTTGAGGGTTTACAATTAATTGGTTCAGACAAAATGGTACACAATGACAGTAGAGGAGTAATTGAAGCTTTCAGGTGCTTCAATTAACAGAAAGGTCTGCAGTTCAGACCTCAGGCTGGTCCATGGGAGATAGATGTGGCAATCTTTTTCTGTAAAGACCAACAGCCTTGATGACCACAGGAGGCCATTTTATTTTGCCTGCAAGGTCTCTATGAGTTCAAGCTTGACTCAAAAGCAATGAGGCTGAGCCCGTAGGCAGAAACGGTCTACAGACATGATCCAGAAGACTTTGTGCTTTACCTTGCTTGGGAATTCCTGGGATATCTTCAAAAGTAAGAGTCCGTAGTGAAGGTCTCCAAAATGCATAAGACTCCACCAAGGCTTCCAAACCCATTCTAAGGGGAAAGGTAGAAAAGGAGGCAGACAAGAGAGCTTTAGTTAGAAGGAATTGGTGCTTTATATGGTTTAAGAGTCATAAACATCTCACAAAACAGCATGTGTTGGCCACTTGCCCTCTGCACACTGTCAGGCCAGGAGCTTGCCACAGGTAGAAAAGAACATGCCTAACACAGGCGACTCTTCTGTCATCAGGAGCAATAGAGACTGAAGCCTATTCAAGATGTCCTGTTAATCCTCTCAGAAACTGAGCTGACCTTGGGGGATAAGATGCTGTCCCCTCTGGCCAAGAAGCAGAAGTAAGAGCAGGTGTGATAACCTGCTGCCAGACCCAGGCTCTGCTGGGATTCTGGACCACATCTTCTTTCCCAGGCATATTATTTCTCACTCTAGTCAAGAAAGTCTGCCCCAAACCTGCCCCTCTACGTCTACCTTCTTTTCCCCCCTTCATTAGAAACATTTTCTCTGTCATTGGCTGTCTCCGCATTTAGCTCAAAGGAGCACTCATCCAAAGAAAATGGACTTCTCTCTCATGGCACAATCCCAGCCACACTCAGTGCAGCCTGACAGGGCTCACCCTCCAGCAGGTAGGTGGTCCAGTAGGGGGGGCACAGGCTCCTAATCCTCAGGCCACTTCACAAGATGATAGGAAGCTGGGGACCTCACAGAGCCTACATGGTGTATAGGCTTAGCAATAATATAGAAAACAAAGCACCTAGGCACACTTGATGAGTTAATGACTGACAAGACAGGACAGGTTGATTACAGACTAGTTACATGACTGGTGCACACTTTAAAACCTTGGAAGGCAGAAGGGCAACTACTACTCTAAGATTATTTTATCATCGTAAATGACCTGAGTAATTCACAATATTAATGTACTCTGGGTTTGGGAAATGAAGTCCTTCACTCAACTATCTCATTCTAAGAATACTCACAACTGAGGTTTTGCCATTCTTCCCTTAATCACTGTAGCCTTCAGTAATCATTTATCTACACATCATGGGGCTTTTCAGGAAGTATATAGCATCCATGGAGTAAATCGTATCGAAAATGTCTACTTCTAGAAGCTTAATACACAGTATCAACAATCTTCCAAATGTAATGAAAAAATCTACAGCTGGAAAGAGCAAAACAGATGATGGGATATTCTTAGAATCAAATATCGGTGCATATCAAAGAATTTCTCCAACAGGGTAAACAAGAAAGTCACAGACAGGGGGAAAAAGATTTGGTAATGACATATCTGTTATCGTGGATTCATATCTAAAATTTATAGAATCCTCTGGTGTGTCAACAAGAAAAAAGTAATCCAATGGCAAAATAGGCACATAATATTAAGTCATTCAGATGGCTAACAAACACATGAAGAATTGTTCAAAATTCCTAGCTCTCAGGGAGATTAAAATAAAAACAACTACCATCTTACCCCAGCAACAATAGCGAAGTTCAACAGAGCAGCAAACAACAAATGTTGCTGAGGTGAGGAGAGACTGGCACCCTTATTCACTGCTGGTGAGAGTATAAAATGGTGTAACGACTCTGGAAGGTGGTCTGGCACTTTCTCAAAAAGTTGCAAATAGAAATACCATTGAACCAACAATGAAATTCTGAAGAAACCATAACAACCATCCGAACAAATATATGCACACCTATGTTTACTGCTGTGTTATTTACAATAGGAAAAAAAATGGAAGCAACCCAAGTGCCCATCAACAAACAAATGGGTAGAAGAACTATGGTATATTCATTCATACAATGGAATACTACACAGCACTGAAAAACAATGAACTTGTAAATCATTACACAACATGAGGGACGCTGGAGCACATTACACGGAATGTAATATCTCAGTCACAAAAGGAAAAATGCTGCATAGCACCACTGTTATAAAGCAGGTCTGGCCTGGGAAGTTGGGAAGAGAATAGGATAAGAGTGGACAGATAATGAGCACTGTATCAGAACAAATGAAAGAAAGAAAATCCTAATAGGAATATATGATTAGGCATGATACATACGACAACAGCCCAGAATGCAACGAGGACTTGGGGGGTGGGGGGAAGTAATTGTGCAACAATGATTCTTTTTAAAAAATGTGAACTGGGGGAGGGGGACAGGAGGAAGAGGGAGCAAAATGTTCAACAATAAATGAATGAAATTATTTTTTTTAAAAAAGAAAATTAAAGGCATATAAATAAAAAACCTTAATAAAATGTCTACTTCTTCATGTCAAGAAACCCCAACCATCTCCTTGTGATTGTTTCCCCCTCTGGGAGTCTATCTTGAATAAGTTATACCCAAGGAGCTACCCTTTCAGGATTTCCTGTATCCCTGGCATGAGAAACTGGGATAGAGACATCACGGAGAGAGCCATGCCACCTACATAACATCCTGAGACACGACTTGCCTTCACTTCCAAGATTTTACACATAGAAGTTGCTGTCAACCTTCTATGAGGAACATTACTAGCCTATTTCAGAGACAGGAGAGTAATGTGTGTGGGAGGGTGAAGCATATGTGCATGCTTGCCATGAAAGCACTGCCAGGTGAGCACACACATGAACTTGGCACATCTCATGTCACAGGTGGTTTGACAGAATGCATTTCGAGGAGATGGCACCAGTCTTATAAAGGTACTGATCCTGAGAAAGGGCTGCCAAAGGAAACAGAAAACACAGAGAGGACGTACCTCCTGTGTCATCTGGTCTACACAAGAAATGAAGGACAGAATTCAGCTCCAGGACAACAAAAAAGAGGGAATTTTAAGCAGAGGTAAGTGCCCAGGGCTAAGCTTAAGAGAACTAAGCCATATTCTTCCTGACTTGCTGTGTGAGCTGCAGTACATTTCTTAACTTCCTTGGTCTTTGGTTTTTCCTCAAGTGAAGATCTGACTGCAAAATTTCTTAAAGCTCCTTAACAGTTTTAAAGTTGTTTAATATTAAGTGATTTATCCCATATTAGTCATCTTGTCTGTGGTCAACACTGACTACTGTTAAGTCATTTCTATCGTGGCTGTAAATCAAGTTTGTGAGGCTGGGAATCCTGACAGGAGGAAACTGAATATCTTTCTTTCCAAGGTCCACTAGCTTCAAACAACTGCAGACACATGTATGTCTTTCAATCAGCAGCATAACTTACTTTGGACTATACCTCTAGGGCTCCCCGTCTGTGGTCAAACTACAGGACAAATCCAAGGGTACTCTTTTTATTTGAAGACATGTTCCCATAAATTGCAATTTCTGAACAGTTCCATAAGCCTTGATAGTACCAGTAACCCACATGGCTACAAGCTACATTTAATATTGGACTAATGAATGTTGTGCAGTTGATCAGCTGCCCAGAAATGTTGTCCAGTTGGTTGTAGATTAAAACTGTGATCTTTGGGTTGGCAGTGCAATTCCTTACCACTAAGCCACCAGAGCTCCTGACCCTGAGGTTTAGTATTAGTATTGTCAACCCAAAATCATGCAATATGAATCTGCCAGCCACTCCACCGAAGAAATGTGGTCAAACAACTCCCATGCAACCTACTGCCTCTGAAATCCTGTTCGAGGGTCAGTTATGGGTCAGTCTCGACCCAACAGCACACAACAACAATCAATGAGGGGTACAATTTAGAAGAGTACTTCATACTTCAGTTTATACTAATTACATTTATTTTTTTTTACTTCCTAGAAGTATACTTTAAAATTCTTTCAATGCTATAGAGTATTAGGTAAGACACAGTTTTGAATAACACTGCTTTTTGTTAACATATAGATGAGTTTTGAGTAATTATACTTTTAAATATTCTGATACACATTGCTGTCAAGTTGGAACCAACTCATAGCTGATCACTAGTAGGTTTCAAGGTTGTAAACTGCAGGGAAGGAGATTGCCCAACTTTCTCCCTTGGAACCACGGTTAGAGTAAAAATCTCAAAAGAGGCAAAACCTTTGGGTTAAAAGCACAATTCCCTGTGTAATCAGAGATTCCTAGCTTTAAATATTCAGGAGACCAAAATGCATATGGAATGGTCTTGGAGAAGTTTACCAGAAGGCATTTAATGGATTTACTGGTCATATAATCCTATCTGCTTTATTTGTAGTAGCAGTATTTGCTTAAATGCAAGCCTACAGACCAAATTCTTGAATTATTGTTCAACAAACATAGAGTACTAAACTTAAAAGAGATGCTCTGGAAGCAACAAGGGATCTAAGCTGGAGCTCCTGGTATTCCTCCTGAGGCTGATGTAAGTTCCAGAAAAGGTTTTAGATATTTTTTAGGAAACAGTTATATTTATTAGCTGAATCTAGACTTTGTTTTAAGCCTTCATTTTCTCCAGTAATGGAGACTTTTCCTGTCTTAAAGAAAAGATAAAAGGCACCTCCTGCAGGAGTATAGCCAAGGTGATAATTTATACAAGATGCCTTTGAACAATTTCCACATTTTATCACCACCCTATTTTATGCTATCAAACGGCCAAGTTTATTTAGTAAAATAGTTATGCTTTCTCCTGAAGCATTCAAAGAGAAAAAATTTTGTACCTTCCTGAGTAAAAAATTTTATAGAAACAAATATAAGGCCTAGTTGAAGAATGAAACTATTCTCAGCACATAAATTCTCTTTCACAAAGCAAATGTCTTGCAGGAGAGCTTTAAACGCTGAAGCTACTGATTCCTGTAAAACAGGCTCTGGAGCTGTAAAGAGCAGAAAGGAATTTTTAAAATAAAATTAAATTGTTTCATACAGTTTAAACAATCACAATTCCATCTTTACCTTGATTAATTTATTTCACAGATAGGGAAAAAGAAAAAGAAAACATGTTCCTAAAAGTACTAACAAAAGCCCAAGAGAATCAAACATAATAAAGGAATAGCTGAGCTTGTCCACTACGGCTTCCTTCCTCAGCACCCGCACTACTGTGCACTCTATCAGGCTTTACATAAAACTTAGGTTCTTTTCATCTTTCCTAAGAAAATAATATTTTAGTTATAAGTGTTTAAACGCGATCAAATTC